ACAAAAAATCAAATAACTCCTTGCAATTAGATAAAAGTTTCAAATTTTAACTTTCTAAATGCTTTAAATTAACAACCGAAAAGCATAATTAAATATTTATTTATTTCAAATGGCAGGCATTTTGATAGTTATGTGGGACACGCTATCACTGTGTGCGTCATCGTATGCCTGCATGTCTGCTCGCCAGGATTGGGAGGTGCGGCCGTACAACTCTGTGTGCAGCGACCGTACAAACAGTGACCAATCATTAACCTCTGTTTAACCTAATCCCCCATCCTGATCATGAGTAGCTCCCTGCGTGTACACTTTATCCGTAATATACCCACTGAATAAACGTGCTCCGTGCTACACGTCTGTTTCCTTTATAGCTGGGTTATAGCTTAGCTGGTTCTGGGAGTCTAGCTAGATGTTGGAGAATCCGCCATAGAGATTTCTGAGTCAGTCAGGCTTTACTAAGGTAGCAATCCGCTACAGTTATCATTAGCCCTTTAGTTGACTTCGGGCTTCACAGAAGGGAGGAACTTTAAAGTGAGAAAAATTTGACAGGGGAAAAGAAGAGCGATTCACAGATGTAAAAGAGACAGACATATATAAATATATATATATATATATATATATATATGTGTGTGTGTGTGTGTGTGTGTATGTGTGTGTTTGTTGTCAATGACGTTAAACAATTTATGTAACTCTATCAACTCTAATAATAATTGAAAGAGCTCTTCTAAGCTTACTTTGATCTAAATGATAGTTGTAATTATCCTTTAACCATTTGAAAACGAAAGCTTGTATATTCCTTTAGCCTGTAATGGAATATCAAATTTTCAATTTTACACGTTTATTAACTACTTTTTCAATTATTTATTTGCAGCACTGATTAAATAACTTCAGTAAGTGCACAGTGGATCTGTAATTGTAAAATTTTTGGTTAAATAAAACTAAATGAAGTATTTGTCAATTTTTTTAAATATAACCAAACATGTAGGAGACTCGTTGCAAAAGTTCAGAGAGATGATAAATGTTGGCAAACTGAAAAAGTGAGGTAAAGCAGTGATGTGGTGAGATAGTAATCAATTATTTTCTTTTATGATCGCAAATAGATATCAATATGAATGACACTTTTAAAGTATTTAAAAAATCAATGCAGTATTCTATCGATTTTTATAAAAAAGCAGAGAAAGACCAAAATAGTTAATATCGAATAAAGAATAGCCCCTTGATGCGAGAACTGTGATTAACCTATTTCGTCATTGAAATTGCAGCGAACAAATTAAGAAATCATAAAATGTGGAGTCCTTTTATTTTCCATTAATGGCTAATATGAGCAAAAATGTTTTGATGGATAATCTTTCTTACAGATAGACAAGTAATAAAATATTGAGGGGGAAAAATAAAATTTGTAAATAATTTAATTGATTTTGATTATTCATGCGTTTCACTCTGCCAATTTTTGTAAAATAAATATTTAATTTGAGTTTTTTTCCTTAATTTCCTCAATTTCATTAATACTGCAAACAGTGAATTTTATTATATAAAATGTTGAAATCAAGAAATTGAAATGAGGGGTACATAGAACTTACTAACATTAGTAAAATATGCGCCTTTTATTATCTAAATTAATTTGCCATTATTAATCTGGCGGAAAAATGCTATCAATCTTTTATTTTGTTAAAGGAATGGCAGTCAAGTCCAATAAGATACGCGAAATGTTGGGAGTCAACAGTATGAAAGTAAATGAATCAGGATGTCCAAAGTACCACTTTAATGTAGCTCGGAAACATTGCGCAGTTCATATTTTCAAGAGATTTGTACCATAGATTATGTGGACTACACTTGAAATCACCCGAATGCTTGATTCGGTTCCATTGGTTGGTCAAGGCACTTATTACAACCAAGGGTAAATGGGATAGACTAGAATGAATTTTTTCTGAATACAAGACTATCTTAAACTCATACAAAGTTTGCATTTTGATCATTTGTGCTTTATTAAGCATGGCCAAGTTTTCACAAGGCTATATGCAATAGGTGCAAGGCATATTTAGACGTGAATGGTTGAGATCATTTAAATTTATTGGCAGTAGGTATATCCTTAAAGAAAATTCTTTTTATTTTTCACTTATGAAGTCCTCAAGTGTAATTTAAGTCTCCAACTTTGCTTAACTAAACGTCAACATTTAATAATATTAATATTTAAAGCGGAAACTAACTAAGAAGAGTTTGTTTGACAATACGTAAAAGCTGAACTAAAATTCAATATTACAAAGCCTTATCATTGATTAGGGAACATTTTTTTAAAAGCACTTGATGTTGGCACCGATTGTAACCATCTTCGTTTCAAAACCAAACTTAAACTTCATTTATTTTAAATTTTACACTGTTCTGACCATAATCTAATTTTTTATCAGGTTTTGCAAGTAAATATAAAATGCTATTAAACTTAGGTAAGTGAAAGCACCCTCAATTGCAAACAAATCAAATTCAAGCCACCACTTCAACATAAAGTGAAATTGGTGTCACGCAAGTAATTACACACGAAAGCTGACGAAACATACACTTTTATCTCAATAACATGGTCAAAAAGTTTAAAAAATAATGAACATAATTTTGAAGCAATGCTGAGAAAAAAACGGTTCACATTAAATAAATTTTCATACATGATATAATAGTTACCTCCAAAGTAAGATCCATCGGAAAGACTGGTAGCAACTCGACCGTCAGTGTCCACAATATCCACGATTCCTTCTTGTATGAAGTACATTTTTGCACCCATTTGACCCTCCTTGATGATCCAATCTCCAGGTTGAAACACCTCATATTTGAGTCTCATCAATACTTCAGAAACAAAGTGACGATCAGCATAAGTGAAAAATGGAACAGCAGCGACCAGCGCCCTGCAGTTATGGTTTATAATTTGCTAAAATGAAAAAAGCAAATAACAATACATACTAGTATTCATTTCAAGAAGATGGTTAATTTCAAATAAAAATATAAATGCTGTGTTTTACCAACACCAAATTTGGAAAATAACGAGCGTGGAGACGACTTTATGAAGCAAACTTGCGTTTAACAAGACTGAACATTAAATGTGACATTGCCAATTTCTTTGACTTTATCGCCCAGAAAATTGTCCGCAGTGACATGGTTCCCAACATTCTTGTTGGTGAATTGTGGACAATAAGATGAATTTCATAAAATTAAAATCAAGTGCATAACGTCAGTGCTACACCATATAAGTTGAAGCCGTACTGTTCACAGAATGACAATTTTTGAAAATGTAAAGAGCGGAGACATTGAACTCCAGCTGACCAGAAATAGAATTCACTCCTTAAATTTAACATTTTGAAATAGTTCATAACACCAAAAAAGAAACTCCCTATACTTCACAATTTCTTGGCACAACTAATGCTAAAATGAAACCAATATCCGTGAATTACGCCTCAAATTCATCAATATTCTCTAATGAAATTTTGAAAACCTTCACTTCACTCTCCATTAAACAAATACAATAAAAATTTTAATTTCTATGCTCGCTTTTTAATACATAAGTAGTTAGAGTTTAAGGGAAATGAAAAAAAACCTCGGTTTAAGAAACACTGCTAGTATGATTGGATTAAATGAAGAAATATTAAATGAATGTGAAATATTGTGAGGATTTATGCGACAGAATTGTAGGATTTCGATACATCTAATTTCCTTGGCTAATCAAATTTGTCGAGCATATCCTTTTTCCTCGCAAAATTCCTCATTTGGTCCATTCGTATCTGATTAACAGACTGCATAAGTGTCTTGATTGAGCAAGGACAGCTAACGATGCAGATCTTATCGACAATAATCTCTGCGTCTTCAATAAATACATCCGAATTCTTCTTTATGAAAAAAGAAAGTAGTGCCTATTGAATGTCACGAGTGAATGAAATTGCTCTCAAATTAATTTTGCCCTAATTCATAGTAGATTCCCACCGTCCTATCAATGCTACCAAGGTAAATTATGAAATAAACAAATTGACTTCTACTATTTATTCAAAATGGATTAGTTTTGGAGTATTGAACTTAACGCTCTGTGTGGTGAAGCTTTACAGTGCTCAGAAAGTAAGGTTAGTACAGCACAAATTAGATTTAGTAAAGATCTTCATTATAGATTAAGGCCTTGAGCAAAGAGTTCATTTATGAGGAGCACAAAACTATCATACTCAATCGAAATTGGTTTACTATAGGAAAATGAATTTTGACTTTCCCTAACTGATAAAAACTATTTTAAATAAATCAAAATTCAACTCAAACCAATCTTAAATTAAGATGAAATATTTTTTTCTCAATTTATAAATCTTGTCACGAACAAAATTTTGCTCTTTTTCACCCAGACGGTCACGATGGATATTTGTCAAAAGCACTGCTGTGAAATTCTTTCCGCAAAATTTTGTTAGAACAAACATTGTTGCCAATATTGGAACCTCTAATTATGTTCAATAATCTACAGATTCACAAAATTCGATATTATTTGTAGCAGATCAGTATTCACTTTTCTAGACTAGTGTAACAAAATCAACCTAGAGATATTTTGTTGTCATGATGCCAATCTCTAATGTAATAAATGAATGAAGGACACTGAAAAATGAGATAGGACCCGTCTATATATATATATATCGCATTGTAAGCAATATTAAATCTAAGATAATCTGGCAGCCTACCACATTTACCTATGGGTCGGAACTGTAAGAATGACGGATTATTTAAAGATTAAGTAAAATAAACTTCTTTATCTTTACTAGCTTTCAATTCTGTTTCTATTTTAGCTTAGTTGTATAAAAAAGTGACCAGAAAGAGTTGGAAAATAGTTTACTCTGTATGTCTCAAACGTGAATTCACTACCAAAAATGAAAATAAATGTCGAATAATGAGCTAGGTTGAATCAAATAAGTATAAAAGCGTAAACGAAAGCATAATTTTAATATTTTCTAACCACTCTCTATCTCATTGTCTTGATCAAAATATGAAGCCCCGTGATATGTTCAGTTAGAATGGTTTCCTTGATTGAAATTGCAAAATTTCGGAATTGGCATGGCAATTAAGGAAACAAAAATGTTCAAAACCACTTAAAGTTAACTGGTTACAAATGCAACAATATTATTTAAAACAAATACATAGCATGTGTAATAATCCTCATTTTATTTTACAAAAGTCTATCAAACCCTATTTTTACATGGTTTAGTCTGCTAACTTCAAATTCATTTGAATCTGAAGAAAGTTTTCCTCGATGAATGCCACTGATATGCATTATTTTCATTGAATTGAAGCTTGCGCTTACAGCACTTAAGTGCGAAAGCCACAAATTTACCTTATCCTTAGGCCGTGTTAAAAATGTAGATATACTTTCCACGTCATGCAGTGGCAAAGTAAGGGGAATGATTTTTCAAACCTATCCGAACAAGTTCACGAAGAGTGCCGTGCGTTGGTGGGTACAGAGTTTGCGAAATGTGATGGCTGAGGTCAGGTCAATTATGTGATGTCGTAAAATTGATAGGTTACTGAAACAAGCATTCAATGCTCCTCCCTCAAATTGGTACGAAAACGCAGAAACTATAATTACTGTCACAATATACTAAATTTGTCAAAATTCGTAATTGCTACTATATTTAGAGAAAAAAACATCTGACAGAAGTTAAAGACTAATCATTTAGCGCACATGAATTTATTGAGAAAATTTTAACATTTTCATACAAAAATCTAAAATAAGCGATAGTTGTGGGAGATTTCTTTTCTGTTCAGTTAATTCTGAAGAAGTCTCTAAAACACCAGTGCCTTGGATACGAATATTTGCCTCTTTACTTGAAATAAGAATGACCTAGCTTTTGAGTCACAAATTTAAGTAAATTCTTCTATATACCATTGCTGCCAATTATCCTGGGGAGAAATAGTGACCAACGGCTAGGTTGAAAGTCAATTTATTGAAACTGGATGAATTAAAAACAGCAATTACGTTGCGTTGCATCCTAAAATAGTGGATGATGGAGTGGAGGAAGAAGATATGAATGCAAAAGCAATAAGTCACTGCCATGCTTAATTCGCAATCATTCTAAAATTTTCCCGGCTTGGGGTAATTATTTTCATCTTCACTACTTGAATTAATATGAGTTGAGAAGGCTCCTAGTCGGGCAAAAATCCTTTTGGTTAAAAAATGGATTTATAATGGGCTGGTCAAAGGACCTATCAAAGAATGAACTTACATGTTTATAAAGGGAGTTGATATTTAAGTCAAGTCAAAAATGGCTACTTAAACAGCGGTACAATTATTAATAAAATAGTTGAAATAGTATCTAAAAACAAAGGAAAAATTTCCCAAGTGTATTTAAATGTTTTCTTGCCGGTGCGAATATGAGCATAACGAGCAAGCCTGAAATGCAATTTCTACTTTGAACGCGCAAGGGAAATATTCTCTATTTAGATGAGCTGTTTGAGTAATTATAAATCGGTAATTCTTAAGAGAAATTCAGCATATACAAATGTCCACATTTATGTGATCGAAATGCCTTGTTGTCTTGGGAAATTGTGACTTCTGTTCACCCCCCCCCCCCTTCAATTTCAATGTAATTATTATAAATTCGTCATATTTTAATAGTACATAACGTATAATATATTGAACGCATTTTTTAATAATAGTGTGATAAGTTAATTTTTTTATTTTTGCTGTATTCTTTAATTCTGTACATTGAAAGAATAGTTTAGAATTCTGAAAGATTGCATAAAAATATTATTTATTTTTAATTGATCAAATACAAATTACATTGCAAACCTCACATATTTTTCCTACATTTTTGTCTTAGAATAAGTCCCCCCCATTCAACGATAATTGTGTTTATCTATTTAAAAGTTCAAAAAGATTCTTTAATAATAATTAAAAGACCGACTCCAATCTAATATGGCATCGTTATTATTTTTTTGCATTGGTGAATATTGAATAATCAAAATAATAATACTCAAAAATATATAATAAAAAATTAGGTCTCACTTCTCGAAGGCACTCTGAGAGCTCATCTAAGATGATCCTTTCATTGAACATTTTACCCTGATAACGGTGCTCGTAGTAATTGGCAATCTTTTGGCGAAGTACACGAGGGAGCTTTCGATAAGCCATGTATTCTTCCACTTGTTTAAACTAAACCAAAGAAATAAAAAATTCATAACTGAAATAACACTCTCTATATATAAGCGATGCGAATCAATGATTAAAATATCAGTGGATCGAAAAATCATAAACTTGTCAAATACTTTGATTCAAGCTCAAACCCGATTGGAAGATTATAGTTACCAACTTTTTTTGGGTATATCGGGCTAATGCTCTCATTTATCAAGTTGTCTTGATTCGAAGTGTGAATAAAAAATGTTTATTGTTTTAAAATAGAGCAAAATTTTGCTTCATTAATACAACCGCTCCCAATACCCATTAATTTAAAATTCCCGATCAATGCATACTTAATGCGAAAACATCACCACTGCAACAGTAATTAACTGTTCTTTTCTTGCAACGAATACATACCTGTATTAAATTTTGGTACATAGTATTACTTTTGTTCGGCAAAAATGATGAAAAAAATTTTGGAATAAACCAATTAAATGATCAATGATAAATCTATTATGAAAAACGAGAAAATAAATTTCCTTTCAAAAATCAATTTTAAAAATGTAATTGAGTTTCGAGTCTCATTCCATGCAAGCGAACTGAAGACTCGAACTAGGAGGAATGAGGGAGAAATATTCTTCAAAAGGGCGATGGCTTAAGGTGGGAAAAGCTAAGAACTATTTTTTTAAACAATTAGAGACTTATTTATCCACGACTTGCCAAAAATATTTATAAGGATTAATTTTCACAAAAATTTGTTCAGCAACTCATATGACATTCGAATAAGTGCTTGAAATGAAATTACCTGAAAAAATGAGGACAAAGGATTTCACATGAGCCCAACGAAGGTGTTCCATTTAAAATGAACGGTGTTAAGACAAAGTGTGATTAAAGAAATATCATTTAATATTCTCAATTGAAGAATTTAATATGGCTTATATATATATCTTACAAAATTAATGGAGCCACGATTGATGTTGCAGTGTAGTTCATATAGCACGAAAAGTATTTTATTTGCCTTAGCCACGAGAACATTCGTTTCTCTTCAGATCAATGGTGTGTTAATAATAAAATAGATGAAAGATATCAATACCACTAGTTTTTATGAGCGAAATTTTAAATGCGCGCAATCAATATTTATCGACACAATTTAGGAGATCATAATTAAAGTTCAAGACCTAATAAATAGCAGTTAGCTAATGGAATGAATTATCGCCTACCGTAGGAGGGAACATAAGGATTCTCCCTAATGCGAATGGGATTAGTATTACGGAAGGTAATTTTTAATGAATCTACTGTCATTAAATTGCATGAACCAGGATGACTTTGATTGGTTTTTATGAAAAATTATTATACATCTATTCAGTTTTAGCCAAATATTTTCGTAAAATAATTTGATAAAATTAATAGCATTTTTTATGTAACCGATATCCCTTAGAGTGTCAAATGAAAACTAATTATGATATATCCATCACCTTTTCACGATATAACTTCTTTGAGCAATCGAAAGATTGGATGAGAGCTGCCGCATGACCCACAAAGAGGGCGTAGCAAGTGGAGCCGGTCATCATACTGATAATTGTGATCCACGCTTCACTTGAACTCGTTGGAGGAAATCGGCCGTAACCAATGGAGAGCATATGAGACATGGCCTTGAAAAGTGCCCAAGTATACTGTTCGAACCATCCAGCGTCCTATTAAGGCCGAAGAGCACTTTAATCAAGACTTTTGATAAGTGTATTGGGTGTCAATATCTAAACGATCATTAATTTTATTGTAAAATTGTTTCGAAATGAAAGAACAAATCGGCTACTTATAAATTACAGTTTATCAGACAGACCTGTTTACTCGTAACTACTATTAAATCTATTTAAAGTATGTACAGGTCTTAAGATAAACATATTGGATACCAACTTTTTAAATGAATTAATTTTATCCCTTATTATATAGTAAAAATCTAATCTTTATTAATGTCAAATTAGATTCAAATTTGTCACTATCACCAGAAAAGTTGTATTGTTGGTCTTTCGATCACATCGCTTGAAGATGTTTGTGAAATGGTCCTAGTATGCACATTTTTTCTTTATATTGCAGGAATTCTTAATTTTTTACTTAATATAATTACAAAGACCGATTTTAGTTCATATAATTCACTAAGACTTTTTTTTAAAAATACCAATACAATTAAAATTCTCATTTGTTTGAATGAATTTCGATTCATACGTTGTATTTCATACTAAGTATCATTCTGCATTAAGGATTCATAAATGCTATCCCATTTTTCATGAAATGCCATCAAATGTGTGTTTATGGTATTAACGGATAAACAATTAATGGTGATTTAGATTCAAATTACAATGGGACGAGGAATATTTAATATTGAAAATTCTTCTAATTTTTGTGTTAAAATAATTCATTCAAATCTAGTCATAATCCCCATGCAACCATACTAATAAACCGACTCTAGGTAGCGAAAACCATGTAAAATAGTCAACCACAACTTCATTGTAAGTAGAGGCCGGGAATTTATTTGTTGAGTTTTGAATGTCATTACATTAAAATATTATAGCGAATTGTTTGCTGGATTAATATGGCAGACTAGATTAAGAATTGCGTCCATTTTGAACAATCTTAAACTGAAATTTTATTTTCAGTCACTACACAAGAAATTAAATTATCGCGGATATCGACAAAATGAAGGCAAATATACGTAAACCTTCAAAGTAAAGTCTCCTTTAGTAAGAAAGACGAATCTCGGAAATTAAGTTTGAAAAAATCATTACAAACCATAAAAGAAAAAAATTATGGGGATCAGATTAAATAAAAAACTTACCTTTAGTTTACATTTAATTACCCAACTGTCGACAGGAAACTCATTAAGCATTGGAATGAAGAATTGGAGACAAGCATTCCAGTGGCCCAAAAGAAGCATCAGAAGGACCAAATTAAAGATTCCCATAAATTTGTTTGCCACGTTGAGAAACTGGAATATTTAAAAATAATGAACCAAACCAAATCAATTTATTTAACTTTTTTAACAATAAAACACAGTCTTTTATTGATAAAACTGAGAAAAATAACTAGGTCTTCTACAAATCACTTAGTTCAAAAGGAAAACATATAAGTCTGATTTTGATTTTGCTTTGTCGGAAATAAATTAAAGAAAAGTATTTTTATTTCAGCATCCATTTTTTTAAATGGACAAAATGCAAATTGCTCAGTTAAAGGTACCTTCATACTGTTGCAAATATAAAGTTCTCTTGCACATCAAAATGATAATTTAAGGGGAAGGTTGAAGGAAGTATTGATACTTTTAAGTCGGCTGGTTTTATTTTAACATAGATTGAAATAACTCAACCATGTCTATCGATAGACATAAAATGTTACTTGTATTAAATTGTGATAGAAAGGCTTAATAGAAATAAAGCAATTTGGAAAGTGATATTCTTTGTCTAAATTAGATTTTCTGAATTTTTATGAAGATTGATGAAGATAATATATGAACAGCTGATAACAGAAAGCTATGAACCTTTCTATTTCACTTCCCTTTTCTAAATTTTTTTATTTTCGGAATTTTCCCTTGGATTTTTGTAAAATTCAAGATATTAAATGCTGTCTTAATTTTAAGTTTTAAATACCTGCAGATTAAATTTCGTATGATATAGGTGACAGGCTGATTTAAAAACATTTGCTATTGATACTCGATTGAATAGTATATGCTAATAAATAAGAGCTCGGTAAGAGAAAAAATGTTTCGGATAAATAAAAAAATTGTTCAATTTAAAAAAGGAATTCTATATTGGCCTGGTCATTTTCTTAATGCTGGTAGTGAAAGAGACAAACTAAGATCCAGAAATAAATCAGGGATTTTATATGATTTTCTCGTTTTTGAGGCCAAATTTGTAGATTCAGCCCAAATACGGAGAGTGTAATTTTTAAAAATCAAATTTCAAGTTTATAATTAGTTTCAAACAAAATAATACGATCTCTAGTAGCAGGACGTTGATTAGCTAGACGCCATATCCTAATGAATATTTCTTTGAATACATTTTCATTATTTAAATCTCAAAATTAATCTTGTAATTAAAATTGCTAAGCATGAATTAACTAACCTAGTGAAGAAAATACGGAATTTAATGTTAATCAGCCTTATAGTAGCCTTATGCATGTGTATATATTTATGCCTTTTTGATTTTTGTGAAAGTTCCTCGTGATTGATGGGCTTCAAAGCATTATTATATCCCTCTCATTTCTCACGCAATTTGCGAAATTATTCCCGTTTTCATTAATTGAAGTATAAACTAGGATTTCATTTATAGATTGAAAAAAGTAAAATAACTTTTGCTTCAATTAATAAATTGATATATTTCATAAATGCAATTAATTATATCCCGAAACTATTTTTCGAAGAAATTATCTTAAAAATAAAAAATCTTAAATTTTACATTTGGGAGAAAAGCTAAGTGGCACAATTTATCCTCACTAATTAAAGTAATAAGCATAAGAACTTATATTAGTACGACACATACTACCTTATAGTGAGCTTCATGGTATGGGAGAAAGATCATTTCCCTTAGCTGAATTGACATTTAAAGTGATAGGAGAACCATAATACATTTCAAAAGGCCATACACTATTAGTGTTATTCTGTGTGTTGCATACGTGATTGTTACAATCATTGTTACATATATGAAAAGAAGGATCTTATTAGGCTCTTTGTATAATATAAAATATGGTAGTCAAATATAATACATGATGAAATAAATCTTTTTGATATGGTACCCTTTGTGTTACTTGGGACCATCAAAATCAGCGAAACCAAAAGGATATAACCAAAATCTTAATAATTTAGCTAAAATTGGAGAGAGACTAAGGTGATGAAAAGTAACAATATTAATGAAAAGCTTTAACGAAAACGCACAGTGTCGTCATCGTCACTTAGGTCTGTTTATAAAATCAGAAATGAGAGTTGTTTCATTTGGCCCTTTTTTGCTTGATTAAAAAGTGTCTGTTAAAATTTTATTTGTGCTTAATTTTAGTCGACATTAGGAAAATTAAAATCTGAACTCTGCGTTAATTTCTGACACTGTTAAGTAATTTTTTTCACAATTAGAAATGAGGTCTTTGAGAATTTGGCATAATTAGAACGTCTTGAAATGTTGAACAATTTCGATTGATTTAAAATAAAACGTTGTATGATTTCGATTTTTAAAATTTAAAATAATATATTCAAAGTAAGCTAAAGTATCTTTGCATTAATATAAGCTTCTCAAAATTAAAAACAAAATGCATGAAATCATTCACTAGCTCGTAAATTGGAAAGTAATGAACGTTAGTTATTGTTGAAGTGACTAAGAAATCTATGCTATTTTTCATATAACACAATTTTACTATAGTACGGAGGTGAATTTGCGAAAACAATAAAAATAAATTTTCATTTATTATGTTTTGTTCTCATACCTCTTCCCACTGACTGACATAGCGTACAAGACGGGTGATTCTGAGAAGACGCAGTAGCCCTAACAGCTTCACAAGCCGCAGCATTCGCAGTGCACGACCTAGATCAAAAAGGATATGTTGAATTAATGTGAAATGTGCGTTTTTTCTATTTTTGGTCATTTAGGGGTTAAAGTTTAGCCTGTTTCTCCCCTTCATTAGCTCAAGTTTTTAAAGCTAAGGGTGTAAAACTGATATTTAAAGAATGGTAAAAAACAAGTTTGCTTGAAAGTTCCTTGTTCTCAGTTTCTGTTAATCTTCATGTTTATTTTACATTTTATGAAAAAATATTTTCCACGCTGTGTAAAACCTTTTTTTAAAAGTTTAAATTTAAAATGGGAAAGGTCATAATTAAAATATTATTTAAAAGTAGAATCATTGATAATAGCTTTGCGCAGATCGAATTTTTTACCACAATAAATAAGATTCATATATTTCATATTAATTTTGGAGTCAATTACCCAATCGCTAACTCATTGAGTTGACAAGTGCTATTGGAATGAACTTTTCAATATTAAATCGGACTTTTACATATGCAGTAATATTTAAGCTGAAGGTATTAAAATATCTAGTAAATTAAATACATTTTCATTTGGATAAAGCTAAGTTAAATTAATATGATAATTTGATTTCATTAACACATTAAATAATCTGTCTTTGAATTTGTGATTTACAAAAGTTTGCTATTCATAATTGTAAAATCTTTCAAAATAATCTTAAAATTAACAAATCACGCAACGAATTTAGTTGAAAATATTGTCACCATATAAATAGTATTATTACTTGCAATAAAATCAAAGTTATACTGTCTATCAACTAAGCTAACAAGATAGAAAAAACTGATTAACAGTTTTTGTAATTGCGCTGCTAAGACTTCAAAAATATTATTCGCTAAAAATATTTTAGAAAAAAATTAAATGCTTGCGAATGAAGTTCCGATATAAAATGAAATGAGTTTCTTTGAAGTGACGGAAACAGGTCTTTCAAGTATAGGAATTCAATAGTATAACAATATATGTATAAAACCCGGAAATGCTGATATCAAAATTATTTCATAGTTATTAAAAATTATTATCGACCAAGATATTAAGCTATAATTTTATTCAAAAATTAAATCATTACGTTACCGCTTCTAGATAGTACGGGCCTTTCGCGTTTTTCTGAGCAAAATCAGCCAAGCATAATGAAAATGAATGGAATTAGAAATTGGAATAGACAAGTTTCTGCCACTTGAAAAGTATTGATGGCAGATGCTTTCATCTAGCTGCTTAATTTAAAATGGCAAAATGACAAAATAAATTGACTATTAATTTTGCTTTCATTTTGTTGAGTTGTTGCTCAGAAAGTAAGAGCTGCTCTGATTTCAAAAGCTCAATATTCAATAGTTTGTGCCAATGAACCGTTGTGTTTTGGAATTTAGATCAATTGCTTTTTCAGTTAGTTAATTTTTAATGGAATAAATTAAAACTATGACTGTTTCAAAAATATTTTAAATTCGGTTAAATTTAGTTACTAAAATATATTTAAGCCTTTTAATTTTTCAAACGATTCCCTTGTTCATTCTTATTCTCCCTGTTTATTTTTCTTACTATAAGACTATTTTTAGTTTATCTAGTTCACTTAGCAATTGCCAGAAACCCCCCGAAAATAAGAATTTGTATATGTAATAATTTGAGCTACCAATAACTGCGTTTTTTAGTTATTTGTTCAAGGAACTAATTGTTCTAGAGCACTTAAATTGGTATTGTTTACAGTAATTTTGATTGCTTGCAAAGTACAGTGGGTGCATGAAATTTCGAAAATTGGAAGAAAAATAGAAAAATATATTTTCGATAACTTAGCCGTGTCCTCTATGGAAGTTGTAAACTTGATTTAGGGTGTGACCCATAATTTTTAAATGATTTCGAAAAAAAATAAACATAATTTAACGTTAGAAAAATATAATAAGTGTTAAGTAAAATGATGTATAATTAAATCTGTTTCAATGACTTTTAAACCCGATAAAATATTTTTCTACTCATTCTATCTTCAACTATAGTCGAACAATTTTCAGAAATAATTGAAGTAATAATTACAGTAATTTTATCATCATTATTTGCTTAAGACTAAGTATATATTGACAAAATTAATGTTGTCATTTAATTTGTTCGCAGTTTGTTAGATATGAAATTTGTAGAAATCTAGAGTAAACATTAGTTAACTTGCTTCACAGCGCAAATGATAAATAGATCTAAAAGAGCGAAGGAAAATCGAAAGCATATTCCGACGACTATACTGCATTTTTAAATTCACACTGATTTTGATTTATCTCTCAACTTACTCTGCCTTCTTTTGCGCCAACATTTCTAAAGAGATGTTATAAACATTTTAACGCACACCATGAATAATTAACTTGTTATGTCATTACATTCTGAACAAAGGTGTATTTTAAGCTTG